GCTCTTCACACACATTCCTTCACTGAATCAATGAAGGTGTTGGATCTCACAATTGCCTTCCAGGGGTCGTTTATTTTGCTAAGCTAAATTTTGGTTTGTGGGTTTGTTTTGTTTCAGGGTCTTGGCATATGCAGACTTGGTTTTTGTCTTTCTGTCCTTCAGCAAAGAATGATTTAAGAAGAATTCTTTGCCATCCAAAACTCTGTCCTCCCCTGAAAGATTAAAATTATATTTCGGAGATTGTGATTGGGCATTATAATAACTTGTGTGCCAGTGTTAAGTGTTGACTACTTGAGCATTTCCAGGAGTATCAGGAAGAGATTTCCTGGTGATAGGCAAGTAAACTTACGTCTGGGGTTCATAACTGTACTGTCTTAATCAAGAAGAGGAAAAGATGGTGCATCACGGAACTGATAGTGGCTGGTTCTCCCCATGGATACGGGAAATCCTCTCACTTCCTGTGACCACACCTACTGGCCCAGCCGGTGTGATTTACCAGTAGCCACTTTCACATTTCTTTTCTAGATTCCGTTCCCTAGTGTGTCTGCCGAGAGAGCCGCCATCTGTATCATTTCTTTGAATCAGTACTTCATTAGTACCACACTTTCTTCCTGAGGTTTTCAGGGGAAAAAAAGTGCCTAATTTTAGGAAAGACTGTTTTCTGTTATTTGTGAAGGAGTTTTTTGTTTTTAGATGGGAGTTATTTTTACTCTCAGGAGGTCGAAATAAGAAAAAAATGCTGAAGTCTTTTTCCCTTTCCAAATATCTGGTAGTTCTGCAGTGGTTTTCCAAGCTCAGCCTCTGCAGAACATAAGTGAATGTACCAGTGTCAAGTTTTGTATTTGTACAGATCAGGGTAATATACACTCATATTTAGTAGAGGAGTGGCAGGGAGAGACACTTAAAATTTTGGGAGAAGAGGCTGTGAATGTTAATCAGGAAAAAGATGACTTTGAGGAAGTAGGGAAACCATTTATGATTTTCATGGGTTTATAACATTTTTTAATTCTTAGATGCGGAGGAGAGGGAAGCCTGTAATTTCTTATCTTGGCAACAGTCCCTCTGCACAGAGGTAGGTTTCCCTCTTTAATTCAGCAATCTTCTTGGTAATAACAGCCTTCATATGTGGATTACCTGCCAAGCATTGTGGTAAGCTTCACTTCCATCATTTTTAACCTCCACAATACCTCTGCAAGGTGGTCGTTTTACTTACTTTATTAAGGCTAAGTGAGGTTATTTGCCAGAGGCGAATGGAGCTAAAGAACTGTAGAGCCGTAACAATTTGTGAGAGCATCGAGTATTCCAGGTAATCCCAAATGGCGATTCTTTACGATTGAACTGGAGCTTCAGGAAAGCGAAGGTACTGTTCTCCTCGCACTCTTGGCTGTACCTGTGGCCTGGGGTTGCCAGTTACCCTGGTCAGGTGGCTTCAAGCAGCAGCAGCCTTTCTCTCCATCACTGGTGTGCCTACTAGTACGGTGCCACCACCCTCTGTGCCACACCACGGAAAATGGGTAGGCATTGTTCTCGTGAGTGCCCTGGTAGAGCGAAGTATTAGGAACTCAGGTCTGCTGTTTATTAATGCTTTTGCCCTCTGATGTGCCTGAATAGTCCAAGTTTGAAAGCACCACCGTAAATCCATACCTAGGAAAAGTTTCCTGTAAGTCACATTGCTTATTTCTGTTCTTTGACAAATGGAGATGGGAGAGAGATGATGGGATGGTAGGAAGAATGGTAAGAGAAGCATAGGTGTGTGGGTCTGTTTTTCCATTCTGGACCATAACTCTCTTTCTCTTCGGGTTTAAAGGTGGCAGAAATCTTGTTAGGGTCTAATTGCTATTCAGTACTAGTAGAATTCTTTTTGTTCTTTCTAAGCCTGTGTGCTTTCTTAAAATGCACTTTTCAATGGGCTTCATTTGAAGGATGAAGCCATTTCTTGGTTTTAATAAGGAGATAGTGTTAAATAGAAAACAGCTCATTTTCCAGGCCCTGTGAGTAACAGTTATTTGTTTTTTCTTTAGCTCTAAAGTACTTTTTTACTGTTATATTGTATTTATGAGGATTTGGCTACCATATAGGAAAAATAAAATTAAAACTCCATGAGTTTGTAAAAGACGTGAGTAAATTAAAAAAGAATTTGTGTCTTTCACTTAATTATATGTGAAGGTGAAGGCTTATTTCCTCAAATTCAAGAAGGTAGTCTGTATAAGGCAAAAAAATGTGCTTCTGTAAAATATTATGATGCTATTCTTAAAGGCCTTCAAGCTAGAATGTTGTATTAGGTGCGTAGACATAATTCTTGACACATAATCTCCTTATGGTCTGGGATCCAGTTTCATTGCAGAATTGCTTTTGAAACTAAATTATCAAGACTTGACAGTGTCATTTTATGCAACAAAACACTGGGATTATGAAATGACTTCTACTCTCAGATGCATTGTGAAGGTGTGACAGAGAGCCTCAGTTTCCACAGAGATTATGGTTGTGGTATTCTAAGCCACAAGAACCCTGTCATCTTAAGCAGTTAAGTAGCTGGAGTAGTAATCCATCAGAACTTGGTACACAGTGGTTCTAGATCTATTCTGGATCACTGTAACAGCCTTCTAGCCTCTGGTCAGCACCCCGGTAATCTTTCCCCATACTGGGTCAAGATATTCAGGACTCCTTTTTGCCCATTAATAGAATTTGTACTTTTATCTTAATCTCATCTACAAAACCTTCAAGATTTCCTCCTTGGCTAATTCTCTAGCCTCAACTCTATTTCCAGAAGCAATACTAAGCTTCTGGAATACCGGTGCTTACTGACTCCCACATTTCCTCTTCCTTCCTGTCTAGCAACTCCTCCTTTCCCCAGTATAGTACACTACTGTGGATCCTTCAAAACTCAGTTTCGGTTATGTTTCTCCAATAATTATATCTTAATTAGGTTCTGTCTTTGGACCTCGTCCATAAAGGAAAAAAAATTCATCAAGAAAAAAGCTAGTTGCTTGTCTTATGTATTGTCATGTTAATCTGCTGCAACACTTACTGCACTGTGGAAAGAATGCTTTCATTAGCTATTGGAAATTTTTTTGAGTACAAGCCACGTAACCTCATAATCATACACATATACATACTATCTTTTTTAAAGAATTATATTTTATTATTTAACTTTATTTATTTTAATTTGACCAGGGAGGGATAGAATGAGAGAGAGAGAAAGAGAGGGAAAGTATGAAATCAAACCGCCAGGTCCGAACTAGAACTATGGGGAGTACCAGTGTCCTTAACCAGCATGCCACCTGCCGGCCCCACACTGATTGTCTTAAAGGCCGTCAGCAGCCATAACCAGAAGTGGTCAAACTTTTCTCAATTCATGGCATCCCTATCAGTAATTTTATAGCATCCCTAGGTCAAAAGAAACACCTGTTTAATTTGTTAAGTAATTAGGTCAAAACAACTTGATAAATGTCTATCTCCAAACAGTTTAGTAGCTATTTAAGAAAATAATTATGCATAAATTACTTTCATTCCTAGCTGCGTAGTACTCCATTGTAGGTACCATGGTTTTTTCAGTGAATGTTCTACTTGGGATATTATGTAAGTATTGATAATTTCCAGTATTTTGCGATTACAAATGATACTATAATGAAAACCTTTGTGTACATGTATCTGTGTATTATTGAAGGTATAGCTTGAGGATAAATATGTATGTGGGTTTCTTAGCTACCACCTGCCTCCTCATGGGGTAATACTGTTTTCATTTCCCATTAGCATTGTATGAGAATGGTTTTTTCAGCGCTTGAATTTCTGCTACTCTAATGGGTAAGAAATGGTATACCAGGGTCGGCAGGTGGTATAGTGGTTGAGTGCTGGACTCCCACATGGTTGACCATGGTTCGAGTCCTGGACCTGTCAGCTTGCTTTCTCACTTTCCCTTTCTCTCTCTGTCTCTTTCTCTGGTCAAATTTTTAAAATAATAACAACAAAATAAATAAATAATTCTTTAAAAAATGGTGTATCAGTGCAGTTTTCATTTGTATATCTCTTATCACAAGTGAACTGGACATTTTTCATGTTTAAGGACGATTTTAAAATTTTTATAAGTTCACATTATTTCTCCAGTTTCTATATGACTTTTGGTCTTTTTTCTCCATGAGCTTTTTATTTGTTTATTTGCTATAGGACGTGTGTGCTTGCTAGAGAGAGAGAGAAGGAGAGAGAGGAAAAGCGAAAAATCACTCCCCCAGGGGGATGGCCATTTCTCAATCCCTTCTCCTCAGTCCCCCCTTTTTAGATTTTGGGCATGTACTCACACATACCCAGTATGATTTTTAAGCCACGGGGCCTGGGACTTAAATTGCAAAGTCAGCCATGTGGGATCCCGCCACCTTAATCTCCACATCACCTACTGGCTCCCTCATGGCTTTTTAAAGTTCTTTGTTTTTAAGAATATAAGATGTTTGGGGGACCAACGGATGGTGTAATGGCTATATCGCTTGACTCCCACACAGTGGTGGCTTAAACTCTCGCTGAGCACCTGTGTATGCATGCCTAAGATCCCAAGAGGAGAATGTAGGAGAAGTGATTGCAGCCTGGCCATCCCCGGTCGGGGTGGGGGGTGGGTGTGGGGAGGTGTTAATTTCTTGCTTTCCATCTGTCTCTTTCTGGCAAGCGCATGTGAAAACCTCTCAAAAAGAAAAGCAATTTGAACTTTGACATATTTTGTAAATATTTTCACCCAGTCATCTTTTGATATTCCTTGTGTTGTTCCCTTGCCTTGCAGAAGTTTGTTTTTTGTTTTTTGTTTTTTGTTTTTGTTTTTTTGGAGAGGTTTTTGCTACAGGGCGTGTGCGCTTGCCAGAAAGAGAGATAGAAAGCGAGAAATCACCCCCCAGGGGGATGACCACACCGCAATCCCTTCTACTTCATTCTCCTCGGGATCTTGGGCACGCAAGCACTTGCGCCCAGTGTGAGTTTAAGCCTCTGAGGTTGGAAGTTCAATCGCTACATGGGAGTTCAGCAACATAGCTATTACCCTAACTGCTGGTCCCCAGAAGTTTGTTTTTGATAGTCAAATGTATTAGTTTTAACTTTACTGTTTCTAGAATTTTAATTGTAGTAGTTAGAAAGGCTTTCCCTATCCTGGAGTTACAGAGGAATTCACACATACTGTCTTCTAACACTCATAGATTCATTTTTTTTACATTTCGTTCCACTTGGAGTATATTTCTCTATGCGATGTGAGAAATAGATCTAATTTTATCATTTTCCAAGCAACTGTCGAGTTGTCAAAATGCCATTTATTTTTTTTAAATTTGCCCTTTTGTCATCCATGAGGTTTCATATGTAAGTTGGGTGTATTTAATTCTTTTAGGTTTCTGACCATTCATGCACTAGTTTCACATTGTTTTAATCATAGAAGCTTTACAGTATGTTTTAGTATCTGGTAAGGCCAGTCCTCTCTTAAATCTTCTCTTCAGTCTTTTTCTCTGTCCTCTTGCGTATTTTATTTTCCTATTGAAATTTGCCATCTCATTCATTGTATAGCTCATTGCTCTTTTCATTGGGATTGCATTAAATTTACGGTATTTAACTTAGGGAGAAACTGACATAATGGTGTTGCAACATCTTAACTTGGAGCTAGAACAAGCAATGTCTTCATTTTCTTAAGTTTACTTTTGTGTCTTTGAGAATGGTTTATAGTCTTCATATAAGTTTTGAACATTTCTTGCTATTTCTTTTTTTTTTTTTTTTTGACGGAGAGTGTGTGTGCTTGTGAGGTGGTGGGGGTGGTAGAGAAAGCACTTCCCATGGGGAATGGTCACACCGCAATCCCTTTTCCTCCATTTCTCCTTTGGAATTTTAGGCATGTATGCATGCATCCAGTATGGGTTTTAAGCCACCAAGTCCAGGACTCAAATCACATAGTCAACCATGTGAGTGAGATCCAGCTACCTTTACCATCTTGCCACCAGCTGACCCTATTCCTAAATTTTGTTGTTGTTATTCTATCAGTAGCTTTCTCATCAGTTATATTTTTTTACTTGGTTATTATTCATGTAATAAATATTTCTGATTTCTGCGTATTTT